CTCATTGCTAGAGAATGAGTGCCTCTGAGCATATCTAGAGTTTTATTTTTCCCGTCTGTGACAAAAGTGGCAAACTCCCCCCCCCTACATTTAACATGGTCCATAATTAATTTTTTTGTTTCCTATATGCTTCGCTCTTCCTCCATGGCTTTTCTCCTCCGCCTTTAAACCCCACCTAACCACAGCCCTGCAGAGACAGGCAAGGCTGTCAGACAGAGTGGCTGCCGGAAGGTGAGCTTCAAGGCCAAACATGAATTTGAACTCAGGTCTCCTGAGTTGTGGTTCAGCATCCCAGTGCTATAACCCAAATGGGCTGTCTCAGGTGGCGAAGGTCAAAGGGTGGGCAGAGAAAAATGGTGAAGCCTCCCATCACCCCCCCCCACCAATACCACCATAAGCTGCTTTAGGATGGCTAGATTTATTTGTGAAATAGGACAATGCTCCTCCTTTATCTTTCTCACTTCTCCGTTGTCCATAAATTGTATCTTTTGTTTTTCATATTCTTCTTTTAGGGATGGCTGTCTCTCACAAGTCTATGTTTAACTCGGAATCCCATCTCCCTTTTGGCTCTGCTGTTGAAGGGTTAATTGGAAGGGCCCCCCCCTAGCAGGGACCTGCCGTTTAAAATACCGCATCTACTTGCACTGTTGCATCGGTAACACGTTTCCATCTACGTGGCAACTGTACAGGACAGGACACCCAACTCCAAAACCCGGAGGTCTGCCTGTTTTGTTCAGGGCACTCAAGTGCATGAGAAATCCTCACAAATAGAGTTTTCTAGTAGCCTTTATTGCTTCATAATACTGGGAACAGAGACAGTTCGGGCAGGACCCAGCCTTATTTTTTACTATTATATGTTTTACTGCTGAGATTGAGAAGAAGCAGTTGGGTTACGGTCTTCCCCTATGTTCCAGATGGATCTGGCTGGCCTTGGGTGAATCTATTTATTTATTTATGCTTTCAGCGATGGGAGTTCTTTCCTGCTGCTGTTCCTTCTTTTCTTAGCAACCCAAGGCACAGCCTTATGCGAAGGGAGGTCTACTTCTCAGCTTCTCTCTCCAGAGTTCTGGAGAAATTTGTCTCACAATGGCATGACTTGGGATCCTTTGGAGACCTGCAAAAGGTACTGTTTGTTTTAAGGACAGTTTTATCCCTCGGCAATATCTCTTCAACATCAGCACATAACTTTCTTCAAAAGAATCAATCCAAATTTGCTATTTTTGCACCTCCATTATGCTTTTAAACCCAGTCATTTAAAGCCCCTCCTGCCTGTCAAGTTGCATTCTGGACACACCTATTTAACAAGGGAGTACCTACTTGGTGCTTCAGCATCAAATCATTATTATGGGTTTTTTTTTCTGCCCCCACTTCGACTGCTTCTTGACTTGGTTTTGAACTATGAAAATATCACCACCCCCACCAGTACTACCTTTTGACTGACAACGAACAACTGCCATCATCTGCCTCTCGGGAATTGTGAAGGTTTAACCTCCTAGGATCTCCAAGTAAGACTTAAGGAGTCTTCTCTGTCTGAAAACGTGGACTCCCTGCCAGTCAGAGTTGGCAGCATGGAGCTACACTTCTCATGGTGGCTGCGGATGATGGGAACCATCATCTGGCACATAGAGAGAAAGCCGTTTCCACTCTGTTCAGAGAGCCAAATTGCTAACGAGGATTTTGAAATACTAATTCAGGAGCTCTCTTTTTCTGCCATTGGTTTCATTTCCTTGTGTTGACTAGCAAATAAGTATTCAGCGTCATCCAAAGGCATCCAGGCTGTCCAAGGCAAAAAAACCCAATCAATAATGTGCTCTATAGAGCAGGATTTTCTATTGTCTGTCCCGTATCTACCGCCTGCCAGTGTCTACGAGCATCCCTGAATTCTAGTATCATAAAAGATTTGAAAAAAAAAATTAAGGGTTAGTACCATGGACTACATTACTTCACTTAACGGTCAAGGGTGGGAAATTCCAACTTACAGAATGCCTCTGTCTGCTAATGGTAGGACCGGCCCTTCAATATCGAACTTGTCACTGCTTGAGTGTACTTTGGCACTATCCTACTTTAATTGGGACGTTTTTATCATTTTACTTTTGTATATCATTTTTGACCTTTCTTTTCAGCTGTAGTGAAAATAATTCAGATCCCAGAACTTTGTTTTGTGTGCTAGGGGGAAAAAGAGGATCTCCCCGTCTTTCTACACACAAAACCATTCCTTCTTACCCAACTTGTTTAAGGGCAAAATGATATGTCACAAATATCCTGTTGTTGGGAAAGGCGCTTCCTTAAGTGCTGAGGACATCTGATTATCACAGCTCCTTTTCACACCTCCTGTAGTTTGTGGGTTAACTTGCTTTGTGCTGTGATTGATCAATAGGAGGTAAGAGAGCTCAGTCATAAAAGTCATATGAAACACTAACAAAGTTCAGCTTCTCATAACCGCCGCTCTGTAATGTTTGGGTAATCCCTCTACAACATAATTTAGGGTGAAGGAGGAGCCCTTTTGTTACTTCACTGTAAAATCATCAGGCGCCCCGGATCCTTGCAAATGTATAGTAAATCAGCAGCCGCTTTTAATCTTCCATCTGCCTACCTGTGTCCTAAAATGTGGGTCACATGAGGAAGCATAAAGGCAAGCAAAAATATGTGGACACACCTTTGTATATAAATAAAGGCAACAAAATCTACAAACATTTTTTTCAAAATCAGTGCATTAGGTTACTAATTTTACAGATAAGGAACCATGAGGCGGAGAGAGATGCAGCTAGGAGAGGAGATATATTACTGCTTGCCCATTTACCTCTTCTTGGTAAAAAAATACCGGCAGTCAAAAAACTGTCTATGGATCGGGGAACATAATGCAAATTTTAGAAACAGTACTGTTCTTGAACGGCAGCGCCCAAATTCCCTAGGGAATTATTAAGGCAAATAATAGTCCTAAATTAGTAATGTCTTGAAGTTCTAGCAAAAGGTTGTGGGTCAGCCTTCTGAAATACTGAGGCCAGAAATGGACAAAGTATTCCAGGTTATGTCCATCTAATAGTGTTTCCCATCTCAAGGGATCCAAGTTCTAATCCCTCAAGGTCACTTTAGGATAGCCACTCTATCTGACAGCCTGTAACTCACAGGGTTGTGGTTAAAATATGGAGAAGGTGAGCCACGGATGCCACGAAACGGAAAGCAAAGGAACACAGTAGTAGATGCAACAAATCAGTCATTATGGATAAATCAGATGGGGCTAGAAGGAGGAGGAAGTTCAGCCTGTTCTGGAGAAACAGGAAATAACTGAATAGGATCAGGATAAATGACAGCAACACAACGTGTTGTCAGGATCAACACAACACTCTGGCAGAAAAGTCTGGGAGGCGAAGGTGGGGCGCATTAAGATCCGGTTCATCCTTAGTACAGCATGAGAGGAAAAGTGGGCCAGCTGGTGTGGGGCGAGGGGTCGAAACCTCCTGCTCACTCATTAACTACCTTTACCCAAAGCAAAACACTAGCTCAGTGCAGGGCGGAGGAAGGTGATGGACTTTAAACTGGCAGAGTTTGGCAAGTGGTGAGTGATCGTGACCCATTGTGTCTTCTGTAGGCCAGAATCTGAGCCAGATTTGAACAGCACAATCTCTTTGTCACAGGGGGCAGTGGCTCTTGGGCATGTGCAGAGTGCCCAAGCACCTGCTTTAAACTGCTTTGCAGTCTGAGGTCAGAGAGAGAATGGCCCCTTCACTCACCCACCCAAATCGAAGTGCTTTGTAACTAAAGCCAGTCAAAATATAAATCTCTGTGAAGTGCCCATCTCTGCCCCTGAACATCAAAACACAATTATGCCAAAGTAAGCATCTTTTTGATGCCCTTTTATGATGCTCGAAACTTGCCACCTGGGACAGCTGTACTTGGAAAAGTACATTTTTAGGACTGTGGTCCTCAGAATCCAGCAGTCAGCAGGGCCACTGCAAAAAGCTGAATTTTCCAAATGAAAATTGTGCCCAGTTATGAAAGAGGAGGGTTGTCAAGTCATCTGCATCATCCCACGCTAGGGACCAGTCCCTGAGACTTCGGGGAGAGGGCTGAGCCCTTTTGTGAGGTCATTGAGGGCAGAGCCATCCGAGACCCTTGCCAAAAGGCAAGAGAGGCTTGGATCCAAGCCCTTTAGGGCTTTATAGGTTGAAACCAGCACTTTGAATTGTGCCTGGAAACAGACCTGCAGCCCCTGAAGTTGCTTCTAAAAGGGGGGTGGTTAGGAGTAAACGTGGATATAGTTTGTTTTCCTTGACTATGAACTTCTCTTAGGCTGTTGTTAGCTTTTAATAATCTCTTCTTTAAGTGTGTTAGTTAATGTTTGCTTATATCTCAAAGCCTGAATGGCAAGGTTCATCCTTTAATATTTTTACTGCTCTTGCAAAGCGAGGAAGCAGATTAAAATCAGAGGGGGGAAAAAGCATTATCATCTCCCCTTTCCCTCAGCCTCCCAACTTACTTATCTGGAGAAAGTGCAATCATAAGAAACACTTTGGGTGTTCATTTACCCCAGATTATAATTTTATCTGAAAGTGAGGTTGTTCTCACATTCATTTAAAAAAAATGCTGCTAGTCCTCATGGTTAAAGGCCAATAGAAAAGCAAGTTGTGTTGACTACCCAGAAAGATTGAGGTCAGTATGAATTATGCTATGGCATACATGTAGTTATTTCAAAGTATTTGGTTATTTCTTTCTATTTCTGAAGTCTGGATTTTGCGATTTGTTTTTACTGTGGTGTGGGGGTAAGTATGCTCTGTTGTGTACGTTTTAGCTTCCAAATATCTGTCATACATGATTTATGCATCTGTTTTCTCAGATGTTCATGTTTACACATTCTTGCTCCTTTTTGATTTTTTAGCTGTTTATTCTTGTGATTTTTGTAAACCACCTCAGAGTTAAAAAGGATTATTGCTTGAGAAGACTCAGGCAGCAGATCAAAACTTTGGCTTATTTAATGTGTTGCTCTTGTTTTGTCATTCCAGGGAGGGAGTAACTAAATAAAAGCCACCTGTGATAAATCAAGGCAGCTATCTGAGATGCCAGGGACCTTATCAAGGATGCCTACCTGTAGGGTAACAAAGGCTGCTCTGCCTCAGGCAGCCGGATGTCTTGGGTCAGTGCTGCTGCTTCTCCGTTTTGGTGAGTTTTGTTTTCTACATACAAATCTATGCACATACATCTCTTAAGGATGGAGATGATTTCTGGGTCTCTGCCAAGCTTGTACAGACAGCAAGATAGGATATTTACTCAGCCACTATTTTTCTCTTATCCAAGAAAAGCACCCTCAAATTCCTTTACGTTTTTCTAAACAATGGTGCTATATCAAGATAATTTTTTTAAAAAAACTATAAACACATCCTTTATGGATGCTAGGCTACCATGTTCAAACACACATTCCACTGAGCAACCCTCCCCTGAACGCTGGTGGATGTTATTTGCAAAGAAATCTAGTGAATACTGTACTCTTTGAGTTTAATGTCTTTTATTCTGATTTGGCAAGCTGCATCAGGGCAAACCTCTGTTCTCTAACTGCTCAGATAAATGTACTGAAAAGTATGGACTCTTGTCAGTTTGATGAGTGGGGATATTTTTTAAGTTGTGTAAGCCTGCTTTTAAAAATATCTTCATCAAACTTCTGTGCAGCGACTGGGTTCAAAAGAGTTTGGGTAGCCCCAAGTTATAGTTATGGGCGGAGCTTTCTTACAGAAAAAGTAAGATACATCTGTGCAATGAAATATAGTTTCTGGAGAATAAGGTTTTCTCTAAGAATATTGAAGGAAATTATTTAACGGTGGTCTGGTAACTAGAATACTAGACTGTACTTAAGGTTCTAGTCCTCACTGAGCTGTCAAACTCACTGGGTGACCATAGACCAGACATTCCTCTTCCTTTGACCTCAGCCTGGTCTACCTTACAGGGATACTGTGCAAAAAAGTGGGAAGAAGGGAAGAAGCCGTTTATGTCCCTTGGAGCTCAATGAATGAAATGTAACTAATAACTAAGCAAGTCATTTAATTTGGAGGAAGCTTTAGATTTATCTAGCTCTGTCTGGTGTCCACTTTTCAGAGTTTTAAGCAAAGAAGGATCTTTCCCATTATGTTCCCCTTGATTCTTATAATGGAGATGCCGAGGCGCTTGAACTTCGTTAACGCAAGCAAATGCACAACTTTTGAGACGGAGTCTCTCCTCTGTTACAACCAACCACTGATGTCTAACTTAAATCTTTTATACTCTGAAAGCTGCACCTTCCTTACGGAGGTGTAAGGCAGAATCAGAGGTTGGAAAGCACCAGCTAGATCTCTCTGTCTGTCTTTTTTCTTCAGAGTGAAATCTGATGTAACTCATGCCATCAAGCACAACACCACCAAAATGGGAAGATAATGTAAAGTATCTATAGGTGACCTTCATTTCAAGCACATGTTTGCTATCTTTTCTTTAATATACAGGTATCACATATTCCACTCCTCATTTAACTGTTCCCCCACAAGTCAATTTACCATGTATCATTAAAAAGTAAATAAAAATCCCATTAAAATGATGGCAAATTGCAAGAACAGAAGAAGAGAGGCTGAAATAAAAATCACACTTTCGCTTTATTTTTTTTTACTTGCACTTTGGCAAACATTTATTTGTGGATATATAGTTATCCCTGTTATTTCAAATGAAATGTCCCTCTTAGCAACCACAGCCCCTGACGAGGACAGAGTACAAGACATGCAAACTCAAACAAGGAGCAATAAATATATGATTATACACATCTATGCTTGCTAAGCTGGAATTGATAGGATAGGTTAAAAATAAAAGCGGTATTACAATGGATCGTTATTACTATTAGAATCATGACGGTTATTGCCAGTTAGCAAGAGAGGCTGCCAAAGATATTTCAGACATAATGTTTTGTGATATTTACAAGTGGAGTTTAGCATCCTGAAGTAAACAAGCATCAGAGTTTAGCATCCTGAAGTAAACAAGGGCATATTAAAGCAAAAAAACAAAACAACTTACCCTCTTTGGCTGCAGTAAGGGAATACAGGGAGAGCCAGCATAGGTAGGGGAGTAAATGCATGATCTCTCTTCCAGATGCAGTTTTGAGGATGTGATTGCATTGATTTAGGTGTCCGGGTACATGGCCACAGACCTGTTTCACCGTTTTTATATAGGATCACCTTTCCTGGCCTTAAGAAGGGGGGGAGAGGAACTCCTCCCTCTGAGTGTGTGTGTGTGTGTGTCTGTGTCTGTGTCTGTGTGTATTTTAAATTCCTCCAGTTATAAACTGTAATAGCATTTCTGTCCCCTTACAGGCATCCTCATTTCCTCCACACCCCTTAAGCAGTTGTTCTTGACACGGCGAGGTTTTCCTCCGGCCCCAAAGTAGCCTGTCTATGTGCAGAGTCGATAACTTGTTAACTTATTAGTGGATCAAAACTTTCCCCTTTTCCTTTCTCATTCCACCTCCTTTCTTCCTGGTTGCTTCTTGACCCGAGGTTGCTGTTAGATAAGATTCATCTCTTATTAAGGTTGTGATACAGCTTGACTTTTCTCTGCGGTCCCCATTTGGGACGAGAGCAGCGACATAAATAGCTGGAATAAATAGCCCGAGAAATAAAACATTGAGGTAAGAATAAACCCACGGACCCCCTCCTTCTGGCTTCAAAAGATCACGGCATGCACAAATGTCAGCCGCGTTTATGTTTTTGTTTTGAGAGAATCTGAAATACAAAGAGATTTGGGTTCTTGTCACAGGGCGAATGTACAAGTTAGAGTAGAGATGGGAGGGCGTCAGCAGTCATCTAGACATTGATGAACTATGTCGTCTTAGAAATGCAGATCTGGAAGGGTACCCTCGAGATCATCCAGTTCAGCCCCTATCAAGGAGGCCCCATGGAGGGAATCAAACTCCCAACTTCTAGCTCCCGAGCCAGAGATGTAAACCCAACCATTCTGAACTCTTGACCATGCTGGCTGAGGATGATGAGAACCAGACAGCATGTTCTCCTCTCCCAGGCTAGAGCGTGGAGGGAGATGAACCCAAAAATGTATTTAACTTATTTATTTAAAATATTTACATCCCACTTTTATCCTTAAAAGGGACTCAATAGTTGCTTTCCAGGATGAGGACAAGAAATCTTGAAAATTCCCAAATTTGCATGCTGTCACAAATAATCTTGTTATCGTTTGATATAACAAGGACTGTATATCAGTCCGTATCAGACTGTGTGTAGATAAAACCCTCAGCCCATATCAGACTTTACCTAGATTATTTATTATAGCATATACTGTATATAAAACCTCAGTCCACATCAGACAAGAAACAAAACAAAAGAAAAAGTGTTGTGACACTTTAAAGACTTTAAATACGGTAGGAATCCTCTATCCATGGGATCACTCTCCACTTATCCACTGCCTGAAAATACTAAATAACACCCCCTCCCTGTGTGTATTTATACGTATGTCCACGATGTATTTGCCAGAACTGGCTACTAGAGAAAGAGACCATGCAAGGTGTAGCATTCAAAACTCCCTTGGTTCTTGGTAGTCACCGGGGTGCAGGGTGCGGGCTGAAGGTTTCAGTTTTCAGTTCCATTATTACAATCAACAGATCGGACAAGGGGGTGGGTGGGCTTGGAACCAAACCTCCATGAATACGGTGGCCCTATTGCATTTTAATGTGAGCTTTTGTGGATCAAGTCCTTGGGTCTACTCTACGAAACAACCGTTGTCCCTTTATCCTTCTGTTTCCCATCCTGGGAATGGTTAAAATGTAGTCTCTCTCTTATTTCTGAAGCAGGGGACTTGATCCACAAACGCTTGGATTAAAATAGAGCAGTTAGTCTTTAAGAGGCCACAACATTTTTGTCTTTTTGTTTGTTTGTTTTGTTGCTTGCACAGACTAACATGGCTACCGCTTTGAAAAGTTACCTCTCAGTCCAGAGGACCCGTCCATTCCCACCACGCCTCTACCTGAGTTCCTGTTCTAGGCGCGCGGGGGGGGGGAGCAGCGGTTTCAGCTCTTGCGATCCAGCCTAGCAATTCCTGGGGTTTTCCCTGCTTTATAAGTCTATAAAGAGAGTGAGCCTTAGTGTACTCCAGGCGCATAGAGAGACAGCAGAATTACCTGTCCTTAAGAGGATCCCTGTGTTTCTTCGTTAGGCGCTCTTCCGGACGTTGCCTCTTTGGGAGGTGGCTCTGTGGCATCATCGTTCATCAGCTTATTCTACAATGTCTGTCCTATGGACTCAGTGAGGTCTGTCCTTGGTTCGTCTGCACTTCCCTCCTTCTGGCTGATAAAAACAACAACAAGATTGCATTTGTGTGCAGTCACTCCAAGTATTGAACCTTTGAATCGCCAGCCTTCTTAGTGAAGGGCACCCAGGCCACCCCAGATGGGACAGACTTCCCATTTTGAGGTCCGCCTTGTTAGAACAACAAGGTCTTCCTGAGGCTCCTAGATTCTTGTCTCGGTTTGTCCTTTGGTCTGCATTCCTGGTTTGTTTTCTAGTTCTTCCTCTGGGTTGATCCTTTGGTTCAGATGCAAACTTTTCGAGTAGATGACCAGCAGACCCCACATTTCAAGGTCCCAGGCACTTGGCGGCAGCGAGATTGTGAAAGGGCAGCATGTTCCTGATGACAGCCAGGCGTCCCCCTCAGACAAAACAATTGACCCCGCAGCCTACGAAGAAATGGCTTATCGTGACCAGAGATTGTGGTGTTTCATTCTGGGGTTGCTCAGGTATTTTCCTTCCTGACACTTCTGTCCCAACACGAATGGCCATTCCCCTTCTGCCCGTCTCCCCTGCCCTCCCTTGTTCCAACCAGCCTCCGTTCTCAAACCTTCGCGCTTTTTAACCTGTCTGTCTGTTTCAAGGAGGGAGCCTGGTTGTGGTTTCTCAAAGGGAAGGAACAGCTGATACCCAAAAGGAAGCTAAACGGAAGTGGCATTAAGGTGGGGATTAGACAGCAGAAATACATGGTTAAGAAAATGTCACCAGATGACACACACTGACAGGGCTGGATTAAGACCTTTAGAGGCCCTACAATGAAAAGATCACGGAGCCCTTTATGAATAGAACATGCAGCAGGTCCCATGACTTAGAAAGGAAACCATATAATGCACACATTTTAGGCAAGAAAGTACGGTAATTTAATTGTCTAGCATGTGGCAGAAAAGAACCATGTCTCTATGCAAAATCATACGTACAATCAAGTGACTGGTTTCCAGCCAAATCTTATGCTTTCACGCTTTGATTAATGTAGACAGAATTTGTCAGAATCTGTAAACTGAAAAGCTCAAACAACAGCTTAAAACCCCTTCTTGGGTGTTTTTAACAGTGGTTGTTATTTCTTTGGCTTGCACATATGGTACAGAGGTCATAGGACCAGCAGCTCTTTTTATCCTAATGCCCCCCACCCAACCTCTCAAAATACAGAAGTAAAAATTTAAAACAAAGAAACCAACAAATCACGAAAAATTGATGATGATGACAACTGACCATTACACTAAAAACATGAGTTTTCTCACTAGGTCTTTATACTTATTGTTATGGTTTATCCAGGATTGCTCACACAAACCCTCAATGTGTACGGATCAGCGTGCAGCAGTGGGGTTCTGGGGTCAACAAGAGCAGTTCAAAGCAGAACAAAAAGGAACTCCATTTGACAATGGTGTAACTCCCCTGCCCCCAGAAACCTGGCGTTTTTGCCCCCCTGACTTTTTAAACCCTACTTGCAACTCTACATCATGTGGACACCAAAATGAAGGACTTCAATCAATCGTGGGTGAAAAGCAAGTTACTCTGCTACTCCCCTAGTACTACGGGGAAAATGCTGCTGCTGCTGTTGTTATGATGTTATCAAGTTGCCTCTGAGTTATTATGGTGACCCTATGAATGAGTGCTCTCCTGGGGAAAATGCTGCTGCTGTTGTTATGTTATCAAGTTGCCTCTGACTTATTATGGTGACCCTATGAACGAGTGCTCTCCAAAATGTCCTGTTCTCAACAGCCCTGCTCAGTGCTTGTAAACTCAATCCTGTGATTTCCTTTAGGGAGTCAATCCGTATCATATTTGGCCAACCTCTTTCCTACTGTCTTCCTCCTTTCCCAGCGTTATTGTCTTTTCCAGAGAATCCTGCCTTCTCTGATGGGTCCAAAGTAGGACAGCCTCAGTTTCAGCATGTTTGCCTCCAGAGATCATCAAGGCTTTATTTGCTCTCAGACTCACTTGTTGGCCTTTCTAGATGTCCAGGGTTATCCACAAAGCTCTCCTTCAGCACCACATTTCGTGAATGTTCTTTGGAGATTCTGCCAAGGTGAAGACTTGCCTTGAGTGAGTCTCTAACCACTTTGCAACCCTGTCTCTCTGAAAGCATGCCGACTTTAGAGATCTGAGCATCTTCTCCTTCCATCCATTGCCTGGACCCCATATTTAAGAAAACATCCATCATCCTGACCTTAGCGAGTCTTCTCCTCTCTTTCTCTCTCTGTGTATGCATTGCTCTGCAAGGGACACGTGACAGCGAGGGTGAAGAAGCCAGCCCAGCACAAAACAGCTTCGTCTCTAGGCGGCTGCACACACACACACACACACACACAAATTCCCAAGGGGAAGAGGAAACAAGAATTCAATTTGGTATCTGCAGATAAAACTCCTGCTTGTCCTCGAGTGAGCTGAGGAAGGAAGGTGAAGGAGAAGAGGATGTGGATGGAAGCTTGATGCTATTCTGCACCTTTTCTCAGGCAGCAGAAGGTCTTGGGCTGGCCTTGACTTTTAAAAAGGCAAACAGGGCATGAAGTTCAAGCAGTTTCTGAAGGGCAGGCTGCTGTGTTGGTCTGTATTGATGAACCAGTTCCAGCATCTCCCTCAGGAGTGGGGTTTTGTTTTGCAAAGCTATTGGGTCTTAGTAACCTGTTTGAGACCAGATGTATGTCTGCAGGAAAATATCCCCTACCACCTCTGGACCATTGAGTAGAAGAAGGAAAGTCTCCAAGGGGTGACAGATGTCATTGTCTCTGCTGATCAAAAAGTCCCGTTAGTTCGATTTTATGAGTCCAGTTTCCACTCAGGTACTAGTGATGTGGTCTTGCCGTTAATCCTCCCCAGTCCTGCGGAAAGCAGGAGTTTTTAGCTTGCAGTTCTGAGAATTCCCCCATCCCCAAAGAGACAAACTCAGTGCCTTCCTTATTGGCAAGAAATGTATGAGTTAATAAACGGATCATTTGCACGTGTATTGCCAAAGACCAGAGAGAAGCGTGGAGGCTCTGGATCCAGGGTTTTACTGGGCATGAATGCAGAGCCAAGCAGATGCTGCCCTGGCAAAAGGGCAAGAGCAGAAAAAGAGGGGCTGTGCCACGTCCAGGTGCCGGCAGAAGTCCTAGTGATGAGTTCGGCGCCTTAACTCTGCTGTAGGGATATGAAATCCTGCCAGTTCTG